TGACTAAGTCAAGCTACCTTAGGACCTATCCTTTAAATAGAGCTTATTCTATGTAAACTTAAACTTGGGCAGGTTTGTATTTACAGGTCTGTTCTTGTTTTTTAGATATTTGGAAGGAGGGAAGTCATTCCCATCAACAAGGATATAATTACAAGAGAACAATTGCAAGTTCAACTCATGTGCACATTTTTATAATTGACAAATAGCCAAGAAACTGGGCAATGAAAATATTTGTGCCCTGAAACAGAAATGACAATGTACTACAATTTACTGGATCTTGGAAGAGTTCAGAAATAACTAATCATACATTATGCAGCTTCCAGAATTAATAAGTTACACAGCAATCCACTGTGTGGGAATTTCTAAAAAAAGGTCAATTAGTTCCCTACCCTGACACTTCTTGGTAACTTTCCATATCACGTTTATGGATCCATTCCTCATAGAAGGCCTGTTCATTGAAGATTAAGTGAAAACCCACATTAGATGCCTTAAGTATGTTCACAATACTATATTTTTTTTCACAGTGTAGATCCTGTTGTCAACTTAGCTGATACTTGGAGAAACTAGAACAGAAATGATCAGCAGTGGACAGAAACTAGTTATAGTCAGCTATATAAATCATAGTTCACCACAGCTCAATGGCCCCCAACCTTTTGGGTACCAGGGTCTGGTTCTGAAAGAGGTTTTTTTCCCCAGATCGGTGCCGGTCCACATACCAGGGGTTGGGGACCCCTGCCCTAGTTATCTCTTAAACTGAAACTTTTAAGTTTTCTGTGAAATTCCCAGATCAAAAGATTGCTACTATTTCTCAGTTTAAAGTTGATACTGATCCTTTGTGATTGTGTAACTTGAAAATTCATCTACAATTTTGTAGTTTACCTTCCTTTCAAGACCTGTCAGAAACCGTACAAAGATATTACAGTATATGCTTAGGTGCAGACCAAAGAACACTTTATAGCAGCATTCTGTTGCCTTCCAGCTATATTCAAACTACAAATCCAATTCTCCAATTCTTGGCTGTGAGAAATTATTGCTGTGCAATAATAGCACGTGACAATGTCACTGGGTACTAGAATCCAGCATCATGCAAAAGACGCTCTTCCAAATGATGAAATTCTTCCCGCCCCCCAAATCCCTGCAAAAATTTGCACATAGGAAAATATCTGTGACTTTTAGTAAACAAAGGAAATGAATTTAGAGCTTACCAACTAGAAGACTGAATCTAACTATACATCGAAATGCTTCTCAACATTTAAATTGCTAAAAGGCTGTTTAGAACAATGACAGGTAGATAAAAAGGACATTTATTTTGATTAAGTCTTGACTACTGAAGACAAAGGTATTTCCATAAAATTTTCTTGGCAACCACACAGGGAAAAAATGTCATTATGATTTTGGGGGATATTTTTTCTACTTCCCAGTTTAGTTTACAGGTTATATTTCCTAGCTCTTCTACTTGAACACTATCAAGACTCATCCCTATTTAGCTTTTGGGAATCAGCCAAGACCAGCCATGTAAGAGGACACATTCTACATATAGTTTACCAGCTCTCAACTTCTGTGAAAAGTTAGGCCTTACTCAATGTATGGTCTCAATAGAAGTGGGTTAAGATCCAAAAGCTAATTAAGGTAAAGTACTTAATTTCAATCATAATCCACAATTCATTTCTATAAATTAACAGTGTTTATTGCATTACAAGGTAAACTATGAGCTGCCTAGAGATGCCTTTAGAAGAGATGGGCACCATACAAGTTTAATAAATAAATAAACATGTGTGGAATAGAGTTGGTCAGCTTATTTTAAATATACTTACTCAGAAATTCAGACAATTCTGTAGAAAATTATTCCTTAATGTATTAAAGTCAGTCCCACTGAAGAGGCTTAAAAGATTTATAGTGTAAGACACTGCTATAAGCGGCTAGCAAGCATTAACAGCTAATTAGTGAATGAGCTGAGTATAAGTGATCAAAGCAGAGAAATAAGCTGAATTCTAGATGGCATGAGAAAAAGGGATTGAATAAAAGCAAAGAGCATCATGAAACAAATAAGTACATTTTTTAGCACTCACCGGTCTGGCCTGAGGACTCAAGTAAGGTTCAATATCATCATCATTTAAGCTGTCTTTCTGATGCACTGATCCATTTTGCACTAAAAACAAAGGTTTTAACAAAGTTACTCAATTCTGATATTACTGTTCAATAATTTAAGACATATGGAATTGAAGAACCTTTTGTCAGAAACTGAATATGTTTTAAGATTAATTATTAGTGCTCAAGGAAAAGAGAATACATTCACTTCTCATAGTATCCATCTGTTTCATTAGGGATTAGTGGTAGGTAGGGAGGTTAAATTAAGTCCTGCAAATATATAGTCTTTGTAAATAGTTCCAATGTATTTTACTAAAAACTACAGTAAATCTGGGAATTGGGTGGGGTATAAATTTCATAAGTAAAACCATCATGTAATGCGACTACCCCCCATGAGGATCTGAGACTTGAAGGGAAGCTTTAGCTGACTACCATATGCAGTTGGGGGGGATAGAACCTATCATCCAATATACAGTGGGCTGCCATGCAGAAGGCAATGTCAACACCTTTCTGCTGCACCAAGAGTCAGGATTATCACTAATTGGGTGGAAATGACAGAAAAATCAATCAACCATGTTCACGTCAGACATGGCTTAAGTATGAGCATAACATAATATACTATCAAAAACCAGATTATAGTTTAACTATGACCTGAAAATTCTTCTATTTATGGCACAGAAGCTTCCTAAGAATAAGAGGTTTGGGGTTTTTTTTCCAACAACAGAGCAATATTCCTAAGAGGAACTTATTTTTGTTGCTAAGTTGTCTTTTAATAGAATTTGTTAGTTAAAAAAAAAGTGCTACCAGATTCGTTACTTTCCCCCCCCCCAAGAATAGTATTACTGCAAATGCAGCCCTAGACAAAGGGTCAGACTGAATGACCTCCAAGTTCCCTTCCTTTGTTTGGATTTTAAACTTTTTAATTCCTAATAGAGCTTACAAGCACTTCCCTTTCCGACAATCTACTGTCACATTCACAGGCATTTCAAGAAAAAGAGAAAGCAAGCCTGCATGGCTTTCAAGGAGTTTTAATTTTGCCTCTGGAAGCCATAAATTGGGCCCTTGAGGCAGCTGACTATGCGCACTACTCTCACTTCAGCCTTCAAAGGCTACATTTAAAGCTATGCCTACTCATTAAAACAAGGAAGGAAAGTTAACTAATCTTATCTTTCATATTTACTTTTTTTTTTATCTATTGATATCTGATCAGGCCATTCTCTCCCCTCCCCCTCCCTTTTTGGGTTGAATGCTGCAGATCCAGCTACCTAGGTGCAATAATTTTTTTAAAAGAAAAACGTGAGTTTTTTTTTTTTTAAATCAAAAGCCAGTTGTTGCTTTTAAAAAAGTCTGCCTGGAAGCGGCCCTCCCCTTTTCGTGGGGCGCTTTTCACACCAAACCATTCCTTACCACCCTTCTGCCAATAATGGGTGGGTGGCCGAATTGGGAGAGAATATATAAAGAGGAAGAAAGAGAGAGAGGGTGGGGGGAAGAAATTCATCTCCCAGAATCCAGCCACCGAACCGTTTTTTTTTAAAATAATGAATTGTTTTCACCCGGGGCTTTTTAATTCTGACTCAACTTTTTATTTTTATTTTTACAGTAATCTAACAATCCTCTCCCTTTACCCAGCCCGATAAAAGGACCTTATTCACGGGCTGCTTTGCCTTTTACGGAGGAGACGTTTTTTTTTAAAAAAAAAAAAACTTATCCTGGCCTGTTTTCAGAGTCGCAACCTTCTCTGCAGGGTAGTGCAAGAGGCTGGAAGCCTCCGATCCCACATCTTTTGCCGGGGGGGCTTTTTTTAGGGTTAAAACTCCCCCCCCCCACACACACACTCCGGCTTCCTTCCTCCCCCTAAGAGAGGCGAGGGAGCCGGCCTCACGCATGGCAGAGACAAGGGACACCGCCATAAGCTGAAACTCGAAGTCGTCGCCCTCCTCCTCCTTCCGAGGCCCCCTCAGAAACCGCCTCCCCCCCCCCCCCCCCCCCCCCCCGGCTGCGGGTTCCTCACCTTTGGTGCCTTGTCCCTTCGGTCTCTGGAGCGGAGACGACGCGGCGGCGGCGGCCAGAGCGAGGCAGGCAGGCAGGCAAGAAAAAGAAAGAAAGGGGAAGAGGGAGAAAAGCCATAAGTCATGCGGCGGCAAAGAACAGGCCCGGCCGGGCAAAGGAGGGAGGGGAGAAAAGAAGCCGAGCCCCAACCTAGGCCGAGCTCCGACCTGCCGGCGGGAGACGGAGAGGAGGAAGGCCGGGCCCGGCGGGGGTTCCTTCGCCGAGGGGAGGGACGCGAGGGAAGTGGAGGCGCGAGCCCTTCTCCGTCCGTTTGGCCGCCCACCCACCCCCTTTCCCCCGGCCTAGGCCTGAAGCCGGGGCCTTTCCCAGCGTGGCGCCCCTCACGCCTGGGGCGCCGCTCTCTCTCTTTCTCTCTCTCACCGCCGGGCCTCCCTTCCGCGGCTTACCTGCTCCAAGAGGCTGCTGGCCGACATGGCTCTCCGTTCAGCGGCGGGGTTCCGAGGCGAGCTGCGCGGCGAGGCGAGGCGAGGGGCGGGGGTGGCGGCAACCGCGGCGGCTTTGTCCGGGGAAGGAGAAGGAGGAGAAGGAGGAGCAGCAGACACACCGCGCGGATCGCTCTCGGCTTCCTGGCGGACTCTGACTGGCTCGCCCCGCCCCGCGGCTCCGCCCGCCCGCCCGCTCGCCTCGCGCTGCGTGGGCGCTCTAGCCGCTCGACGGCTGCCCACAGCCCGCGCTCTATGGTGCTCGCCCGCCCGCCAGCCAGATCGCGCGCGCGATCAGCCGAGGAGGGAGGAGGGCGAATGGGGGGGGGGGGGGGGCGGGCCCGGCCAGGGCGGCGGGCGGGGGGGGAAGGGGCGGGAGGGGGGGGGGGGGGGGGGGGTGGAGGGGTGGGGAGAGGAAGGAAAGAGAAGGAGGCGGTGGCGGCAGCCGCGAGCAGCATTGGTGGGAGAAAAGCACGACGGGTAAAATGGCTGATGGCGCCTGTGGGGTCGTTGTAAACTAAGGGTGTCGGCAGCGCCCCCTTTGGGGAAGCTTGGAAAGGCAGGCAAGGAAATGCCCTGGAGAAAGGAAGTTGGGAACGGTGCGAGCGAGGAGTTGAGTTTTGACGTTCGTGGCAAGCTCGGAGTGTAAATTGCAGCTTTACTCCTTCCTCTTTGGCTGACTTCACCGTCTGGGCTACGGTCTTGGATTTCTCCCGTGACCCCAGATCCAGGTATAAACCAGGAAGAAACTGATTAAACCAGGAAGAAACTGGCTTGCCTTTTTAGCTCTCTATATCTGCCAAAGTTGGCTGATGATTAGTTATGTATAATATCCTAAGCCGTGATGGGCTTGTTTTGGTTTGGTTTGTCATGTTAAGGGAATACAGTCACCGTGATTTGTAAAATATCATGTTCTGTGGTCTCCTGCTTGAACGGGGTTGGACTAGAAGGCCTCCAAAGTCCCTTTTAATTGTTATTTCCTTTTATTTTCTCACAGTGTGCTTGTGACTGATGGCAGACTTGAATCTGGGTCTCTCTGATCCGACACACCTTCATTACAAATCACACTGGCTCTTGTGTGCTTTAGGTATGTGATCCTTTTGAGTGTGTAAAGCTGGTACGTGAAAACCTGGACCTATTGAGCCAAATAAGACACAGAGTACTTATTAAACCATGTTAGCTTACATGTCGTGCTGTGCTATGAACACTATATTGAAAATTTATACTTAAATAATCTAAGTTGTTTTGAGTCACTACAAATGGATGGTTTTTAGTAAACAAAACTTTGTTGAGAAAAAAAGGCATTATTGTTTAGTGACCTTTTCTTTGCATTGAAATGTGCTGCTGAGTTTACAGCTTAGAGCAGACACTTTTATTAACTCTGATAACTAAAGAAGAATTATGGACCCGTTTTGGACAAGTGAAAAGTTCTGGGTTCTCAAAGATAGTATGCAAATTTCTGCCATTTTTCATCTGCACAAGGACTGTGACCAGATCAGTGGTGGGTTGCTCCCAGTTCTGTCCAGTTCTTGTGAACCGGTAGTAAAAGCGGCGGGAAGCTCCGCCCAACCCCCGAACGTCATAATTGATGACTTGCGCAGAGACGCAAGTGCACGCGCACTCCCATTGCGAACCAGTGGTAAAGGTCCGTATACTGTGCTTAACCATATTTTAATCATGCTTTGTTAAATAACCCACATTTGGCAGAATTCATGCTTTGTACTAAAGCAAAAGAGACCAAATTGAGCTTCAACACAATGGTTTAAAGATCTCGGACACTAAATCCTTCTCCCACTAAATCTGTCCCTTTCCCTCCCCCCCCTTTTTGGGGGGGGGGCGGGGGCTTTTTGGCTTTTGATGGCGAAGACTGAAGCTGCAATACACTGTATCACTTTCTTTAGCTTTAGAAAGTAAATGTGCGAAAGGGGCATATTCACTTCGCACAAGAAAGGGAACACAGATGGTGTAGAACAGTATTTTTGTTTTGGGAACTTCAAGACATGTGGCCTTTCAACTCCTAGAATTCCCCAGACAGGAACAAACACTGCTGTGGACAAGCCAGTGACCATTTCAACATATGGTAGGAGTTCCCCTTTGGTTTTCTTGTGTATATGCGATCTCTGCTTTCCAAAGAAACGGAGGAAAATGATTTCACTTTGACATGGTCAAAAGTAGGCTGACTTTGCTGGTTCTCTTTACTATCTACATTTTTTTTTTAATTTGATTTATATGCCGCCCTTCTCCGGAGACTCAGGGCGGCTTACAATGCATTAAGCAATAGCCTTCATACTTTTGTATATTTATACAAAGTCAGCTTATTGCCCCCACAGTCTGGCTCCTCAATTTACCTACCTTAGAAAGGATGGAAGGCTGAGTCAACCTTGAGCCTGGTGAGATTTGAACTTGCAGTAATTGCAGGCAGCTGATGTTAATCACAATGCTATTAATCTGCTGAGCCACCAGGCCCCTTTTTAAAAAAAAAAAAAATAGCGAGTCTAATTATATTCCACTGACTTTGGACTGATTTTAATGACCCAAAGGAGAATATGCGTACAGATAGTCGTCAACTTACAAACACAACTGAGCCCAAAATTTCCATTGCTAAGCAAGGCAGTTGTTAAGTGAGTTGCGCCCCATTTTATGACTTTTTTTGCCACAGTTGTTAAGTGATTCTCTGCAGTTAAGTGAATTGTGTGGTGGTTTAAGCAAATCTGGCTCCCCCCTCCCCTCCCCAGTTGACTTTGCTTGTTGGAAGCTGGCTGGGCAGGTCACACATGGTGATCCAATGACCCTGGGACCATGCAACTGTCATATATACATGCCAGTGGTCAAGCATCCAAATTTTGATCATGTAACCATGGGGATGCTACCGTGGTCGTAAGTATGAAAACTGGTCGTAAGTCACTTTTTTCAATGCCGTTGTAACTTCCAACAGTCGCTAAACAAAGTCATAAGTCAAGGACCCCCTGTGCTCACACTACAGTCCTTCCTTATAGCAGGGCCTCAGCCCTGCTGATTTCTTTTCTGCAGGGAGGACGGTGGCATAGACGCTGTCATTGCTGATCAATGCAGCCAGATAGACTTCCTTTTTGCAAGACTGTTCATTCTGAGAAGCAGGGAGTTTTTTGTGGCTTCAGGCCCTTCCCTTTAAGTGCTCGGTCCCACATGCTTCTCGTCATATTTACCCTTCTTTGAATTCTGATCTCCGAGCAGCCCTTTTGGTAACCTTTGGCCATTCCAGCTCCAAAGGGGACTACCAAAGTCCCTCTGTGAGGATAAAAACAGAGAAGCGAATGGAGACCATGTCAAACATAATGAACAGTCCTTTTAAGCTTTTGTTTTTGCTTATCTTTTTTAATGCAAAGAAAACCCAAACAAAACAAATGGCGCTACCCGACTCCTGTAGGGTTTTTTTTTGTTTTGTTTTTTAAACTGCTGTTTTAAAACAATTCAACTGGTTTACTCTTCAAGTCTTCCAACTCTGAATTCTAACTTCTTAAAATATGGAGAGGGCGACCATTACAGCCAGTAGGGAGGTGGGGAAGGGAATCCTTTCCCCCGCCCCCCACTCCTTTCTCTTCCCTTAAGGAAGATACTCAAACAACCCACACACACATCCAGCCCAACAGAAAAAGAGACCAAACAGCCACATTGCTGAAGGGATGTGCCATCCAGACTCCTGTAATCTTCCCCCCCCCCCCAAAAAAAAAAAATTATGAACATCAAACATACAGAGACACGCGCACACCTAAGCCAGCATGGTATGGTTTCCCAGAGTGCTGAGTAAACGGCAGGCATGCCGTGTTTGCTGAGCCCAATTCTCCCACCATGTTGTATACAGGGCATCCAGGGTTATCAGTTCTGTATTTGAGAGAGCAGGTGGTCATTGGGCGCGGCGTCTGCCGTATCAGTTCCTAGTTTCTTCCCTGTATGTGCCTGCATGGGCATAAAGCGTAAGCATTTCCTAGAAATCGCATAACAACAGAGGGAAAAGAAAAAAAAACCACTGAAGAAAATACAAAAAGGAAGAGCCAAGAATCCAATTTTTGAAGCCACAAATGGGCAAACAGCTTAAGGAAAATATTTTTTAAAAAAACCACATAGTACATTCCAAAGAAGGGTTGGTGACCTGATCGATCAGGGTGCTGTGTTTCTTCTGCCACTTCCAAAAAAGCAAAATGCTTGGAAAGTCAGAAACGGACATGGAATCTCCCTTCCTAGGGTGAAGAAGCGCTAAAGGTCCAGACGGAAGCTCTTGCTTTAAGGGCATTACTCATCCAGTCGTTACATTTCCAGGAGCCGGCTTACTTTGCTTCTGAGATGAACAATCCCAAGAAGAATCACTTCAAATCTGGGTCTACGGACTTGCCATCCCTCCTCACTGAGGGATAACAGCAATGGCTTGTCTCCCCTTTCACTAGGCAGGTAAAATTCTGATCATCCACACTGGAAAGCACAGCCTGCCTGCTCTTTCCCCCCCTAGAGAAAATGACTGTTTAAAAGTGATCATCAGCATTCGTGTGAACTTACCTGCAAGGCTGTAAAAAAAGAAAAAGGGTCAAACCAATAAAAAAGGTAAGAGGTGAACTATCATTTTTAGCAAGGCAGGATGGCTTGCTGATTAGTCCTCCAAGACTACGATCTCCACATTATGGACCTGATGCTGATGTTCATCAACCTCAGCCACCACCTTCTCCTCAGTCCTCAACTCTGTCCCTAAAATCACAGCTTTCCCCCCTGATTCTTCAGGATCGGCTTCTGGATCAGGTGCTGGGTCTATTTCTATGATCGTCTGTCCGTCCTCTGAAGTGCCTTCGACAGCCTGGATAGTAGAAGTCAGGCCAGACTCCATGGCCACCAGTTCCACAGGATTGACCATGGTGGCCACGTTAGCAAGAGTCCCACTGTCCTGCATCGCTGCCGAGCTCAGCAGGGCTAAGCTCGAGGAGGGATGAAGTGTCACTGTATCGGATGTGCTGGTTTTGGAGGAAGAAACCACGGTGGCGTAGCGGAAAAGCTGGGAACCTGAGGGCAATGTGTGGACAGTCACTGGGCTGGAGCCCTGGCTGATCGTGGCCATTGGAATGTTGCTAACGGAGAACTGCTGTCCCATGGGCGCGATGGTGATGGGCGAGATGACAGTGAACTGAGGTTGCTGGATGGGAGCCGAGGGGCTTAGAACTGTGGCTGAAGCTGGACGTTTCAACCGGGGCCTTTTGGGAGGCTTTGGAGTGTTGACTGGCATCAGGACCACATTCTGAATGGATGGGTTCCTGGCAAACTTCTTCTGGTCTTCTAGTTGGCGATCTAGAACTGCAAGAAAGATTTATGGCATAGTCTAGTCAAGGAAATGCTTTGGAAATTATCACACAAGCAGCACAAAAGACAAGAGGTAGGAAAACAATTTCTAGGTATAACATGCAATTGTTTCTTCCTGTGCCAGAAGAACAGAACAATGGACGGGAATAGCAATAGCACTCAGACTTATATACTGCTTCATAGTCCTTTACAACCCTCTCTAAGCGGTTTACAGAGTCAGCCTATTGTCCCCAACAATCTGGGTCCTCATTTTACTGACCTTTGAAGGATGGAAGGCTGAGTCAACCTTGAGCCTGGTGAGATTTGAACTGCCAAATTGCAAGCAGCCGGCAGTCAGCAGAAGTAGCCTGCAGTACTGCACTTTAACCACTGCGCCACCATGGCTAATGGCTGTCTCGTGAGGATAACTCCAATTATTTAGAGAACAAAAAAAAAAAAACCTGGGATGGAGAGGTAAACTAATTTACCTCTCCAAGTACTGCTTAACCCCATCTCAAAGCTGCAGACAACAGCAGCTTTAAAATTAAAATAGCATCATATGCAAGTTTTCAAACCTCCAACGTATACTAAAACTACTAAAAATATTACAATGAAAATGCTGGTCAGAATTATAGCTAATGCCTCTTGGGGAAAGATAAATGTGGATTGTCCCAAAGGTGCTTTTCCAAAAGGCAATTTGGACTTTTTTTGGTTTTTTTTTCCTTGAAAATATTTTGCTTCTTATCCAAGAAGCTTCTTCAGAACTGATGAGTTCTTTTTGAAGCAAAACGTTTTCAAGGGGAAAAAAAACCCTAGAAAGTCCAGTTGCTTTTTGGGAAAAGCACCTTTGGGACAACCATCACCTAGATGATTGAGAATCGCCATAGACATAAAACTGTATTCAATGCAACTAATATACTTTTGGTAATTTAAGAAATTGTGTATTTAACCTAAGGAAAATACAAGAGGAGGAGGAGGATGGGGGGGAGAGGAGGAGGAGGAGGAGGAAAAGGAGGAGGAATGTTGTACAAAAATGCTTAATTTCAGCCCAACTGACCATTAGCTGCAGGACTACAATGTTAATGACTTCATAAAGTCTGGAGAGTTTAGCCTCCTCAAAAAAGCAAATTTGAGGGAATATGAATGTACTACAGCAACCAAGCAAGCAAAGCATATTTCTTGCACAATTAATTGATGAGCTAAGAAAGTTCCAATTTCAAAATTACCTGCCAGAGTGTTAAGAAATTGTTCCTCTCCCTGATCTGTTTGACTCTTCCTGTTATCCAGCACTCTCTTCACTGTGTCCATCAGACCAAAAGTGTGAGCGACATTATTTAGAACAGCAGCATCTACAGGAAGACATTCACAGACATTGACTAATATTCTAAATGGGATCCAACTGCCAGGCAGAAAGACTTGCAGTTACTCCTTGTTTGCCCGTGCAGGGATTACTTAACACTTGGGTAGCACTTGCTGTCTTTGATTTTGCAAGATGCACCTACAACAGCCATGGAAACTGACACTAAGAAGAAGAGTACGTATTTAACCATTGAAAAAAATAAATAAAGAAATGACTTATAATAATACTATTTCCCTGGGTTTTTAGCAACCTACTTGCTCAAGAATTCCAAAGCAGGAATGTGGTCTTCCGGGCGCAATTCAAGGTGTTGGTTACCACCTTTAAAGCGCTCCATGGCATAGGACCCGGGTACCTTTGAGACCGTCTTCTGCCACCAATAGCCTCCCACTGGCCAGTCCGCTCCCACAGAGAGGGTCTCCTCAGGGTGCCATCGGCCAAGTTATGTCGGCTGGCGACACCCAGGGGGAGGGCCTTCTCTGTGGGAGCCCCAGCCCTGTGGAATGAACTGCCCCCGGAAATACATAAGATCTCCAACCTCCGGGTGTTTCGCTGCGCACTGAAGACCCTGTTGTTCCGCCAGGCCAGGCTATCAACATAATAATTTTAAATTGGGGCATTTTAAATTTCTGGGGTTTTAAATTGAGCCAAATCTATTTAATCATTTTAAATTTTAATCGTTGTTTTGTCTTGTGTTTTTAAATAGGCTGTACACCGCCCTGAGTCCTTCGGGAGAAGGGCGGTATAGAAATAAAATTATTATTATTATTATTACCCAATTTAGTCCACAAATAACAGTGTAGGTAAAACCACATCAGACGTTTTATAGTTAACATGTCAAATGTAGTATTATGTAAATTGCATGAGAATTTTTGCAGAAAATAACACACATACAACGTCCTGAAGTATATTTTTCCCCCTTTAGCCTCAGGGTAGACCCTCCTGACATCACTATTGATATATTTTCAGCATCAGGCAAACCCCCTTGCTCTTCCCCCTCCTCTCATCATCAGCAGCAGCAGCATTATCATCAGTGTTGTCATCTGGCTATTCTAGTCTGCTTTATGTGGAGTCCTTGGTGCTCTCTGAGCTTGCTTGTTTTCTTGCAGACGTTTCATTACCCAAACTAACGTAGCACTGATGATGTTACCTAGTTTGGGTAATGAAACGTCTATAAGAAAACAAGCAAGCTCAGAGAGCACCAAGGACCCCTCATTTCAACCCTGAGCGACAAATATTCTCCTTTATTAGTATGCTTTATAGAAGTTTCTTTTTCCGATACTTCTAGTTTTATTCAGCCCTGAAGCAACAGACCTTTCCCCAAAGTGACTGGATACTAAGGGAGCTGTGATAAACATTTAGACCAGTGTTTCTCAACCTTGGAAGCTTGAAGATGGGTGGACTTCAACTCCCAGGATCCCCCAGCCAGCGCTGCTGGCTGGGGGATGCTGGGAGTTGAAGTCCACCCATCTTCAAGCTACCAAGGTTGAGAAACACTGATTTAGACAATGAAAACATTCTGGAAAAAGATGATTTACAACTTTGATGGGTTTTAATTGGTTTTGGCATTTTCCTGTTAACGTTCACTATTTTTTTATTTCTTAGGATTGCATTGCGTTTTGAGATAAGAAAACTATCATTGGAGAGCAGTTAATAAAATGACAAAAGAAGCACTACCAAGACACATAATTCACAAAGCATAAATACAAGCAGTCCTTGACTTACGACCGTAACCGAGTCTAAAATTTCTGCTGCTAAGTAAGGAAGTTAAGTGAATCCCCCCCCCCCATTTTACAACCTTTCTTGCCACAGTTGTTAAGTGAACCACTGCAGTTGTTAAGTTAGTAGCCCGGTTGTTACATCAGTGTGGCTTCCCCATTGACTTTGCTTGTCAGAAGGTCACAAAAGGGGATCATGGGATCCTGGGACACCGCAAACCATCATAAATATGAACCAGTTGTCAAGCATCTAATTCTGATCACGTGACCATGGGGAATGCTGCAATGGTCGTGAGTGTGAAAAACGGTCATAAGTTGCTTTTTTTCAGTGGTCTAACTTCGAACAGTCGCTCAATGAACTGTTGTAAGTCGAGGACTACCTGTAAGGCAGGAAGTCTGCCCTAGTGGTTATCATTTCATATCAACATGGAGACTGCTGACCTCTTACCCACCAGTAATCTGGAAAGGGGGCTGGGCAAGCCTTTGCTGTACCCCTCTTAGCACCTCCTCTATCTCCTTCTGAATATTACAGACCACTTCTTCCATCAAGCCCACATCAGCAATGCCTTTCCAAAACATCAGCATCTCCTCTGCCATGGAAAGATAAACATTTTTAAAGAAAAAAACTGTTTGGCAATTATACAGCACAATTTCTACTGCTGAGACCAGCAAACTACTCTACAACAGGGGTGGGTCTGCTGGGGATTCCCAGGGGTTCAGGTGAACCTCTAGCTAAGATTCTGGGCAGTTCGGAGAACCCCCAAATCCCATTCCTGACTGGCCCCGCCCACCCCACCCCCTTCCAGGAGTCCCCACGCAGCCCGTTTTGGATGCAGGTAAGTGCAGGAGGCTTGGGGAGGGTGGAAAACAGGCCTACTGGAAATGGGCCCGTTTCCGGCCTCCAGAGGGCCTCTGGAGCCCGAGGAGGCCATTTTCGCCCTCCTGGAGGCTCAAGGAAAGCCTCCGGAGCCCAGGAGGGCAAAAAGCCCCCCCACCCCACTGTGGTACAGGAGGCCGACTAGGCCACGCCCACCATGGCCATGCCCACCCAGCAACCGGGCAGAGAACCCCTTGCTAAAATTTTTGAAGCCCACCCGAGATATACACTATCAAGCACATTAAGGAATTGATGACTAACTTGTTGACCCAACCTATACAACTCTTACTTGGAAGTATCATTGAACTAAAAGACACCCACTCCAGACATATCTAGATCAGTGTTTCTCAACCTTGGCTAACTGAAGATGTGTGGACTTCAACCTCCAGAATTCCCCAGCTAGAATTCTGGGAGTTGAAGTCAACACATCTTCATGGAGTCATGGTTGAGAACGCTGATGTAGACTGTCCATTGACCACTTACAAATTATGCTTGCAGCGCATGTATGCTCACAAAACAGTTGCGACAGGCTGAAAACAGCTTTTAGGGCATGTCAAGTAAAACACTAGAAGCCTTTTGTGTTTTGGTGCAAACTGTCAAAGGATCATTCAAGAATGGTGCATGCCACTGCTGCTGAGTGACGTTTAGGACCAGTTTTCCCCAAAATTGGCACGCTACAGAAAGACTGAGGATGCAGGGCCGAGTAATCTCAATCCTCACTGACAAAAGTTTGCTTCTTTTACTCCACTTCCTCTCCTTTCCAAAGTGTGCAGAGGAAATGAAAAAAGTATGCAAGCTGTACAGAGAAACGGGAAGGACCAACCTGAAATCTCCTCTGGATCTTTCTTGATTCCCTCATCGGTTGCCATAGTGACTGCTGCTGTCATTGCAGAATTCCATTCAATCCCTTCTTCTACACTTTCCTCAGACACTGCAATTTGGGTGATGCTTCCTGCACAAGAGAAGACCAGTCTGATATTCTGCTGCCACAGTAACTCCTCACCCACCCACACATCTAGATGATACATCAGGATAAGTTCTGTTAAGCCAAATATTCATCTGTAAATCTATGACTTGCTATGACAACAATGATAGGGTTTACACCCTACGTTAAGCCATACACCATAATTTCCAAATCACAATGGCTGGGACATGCAAAATGCAGCTCAAAGCAAACAAAGCACATTAGGTCTTAGCGCTGTGTGTGAATTCAGTCCTTCCAGACCAGCCTTGCCCATTTGGCACACTATGTGGGGATGGCAGTTCCTCAGATTCTCAGCCAGCATGGTCTCTTTGATGGTGCCACATTGGGCAGGCTAAGCAAGGTTGCTTTGGGCTGATCAACATATCCTCAGGGCTGGCACAATAAAACCATTGCTTTTGAAATGTTACGTAAACTCTGTAAATGCTGCAATGAATGAAGAAATGTTTGGGTGTAACTACCACAAAGGTACACTATACATTTGTGTGTTTCAATTCAATGCTGGCTGGGGAATTCTGAGAGTTTCAAGTCCACACATCTTAAAAGTGGCCAAGGTTGAAAGTCCCTGCTTTATACAAATAGCCTTTTTCTTTTAATATTCAAAAGCCACACCTGAATTGTGCAAAATATTTGTCATGTGGCTTCACTTATACATTAAGCTTGTTATGCTCTAATTAATTGAAGTAGCTGAACTAAAAAAACAAAACAAAATGTGGAATGGGAAGTAAGGTAATATGCTCTCCAACACTGGGCATGATGCCCTTCTGTCACAAAGCCCTTTGGATGTAGCTCAGAATTAAACCACGTGATAAATATCTCACACGTCGTCAGCCCTTTAAGGTAGACAAAGTCAAGAAATCGGGAGTTCCTAGAAATCTTGGAAAGTATATAAATGCAGTTAGGATATTGTAATGGAATTTGTAAACCTGTCCTCCACTCTATTTCAACTTACACTTAATCTATTCAAGGCAGAGTTTTAATAAGAGGGAGACCTACCATCAGCAGAAGTGGGGGTCTGTACCAGGCTTGTTTGTCCTGGTACCGGGGCCCTGGCACTGCTGAACAGGAGGTCAAACTTGGTGCTTCGGCAGGTGTTGGTGCACACTTTGTCATGCTGATAGAAATCAATTTGCCCAGAGTCCATCATCTTTCTGCACAATGAATGGAAAACAGAACAAGTCATCTGAGGGGATGAAAATCAGTTCAAAGAATTGTCTAAGAGAAAAATGTAAAAAAGACAAAGCCTTTGAGTGTGATGCATCCAACGATGCTCAATCCCGTTTAGCTTATGCCCAACTGCAGTTATATAATTCATGGAAGGTTTAATATGAAGTACGTGGTTCTGTGCCGTAAAAAAACCTTATCTTTCTTTCCACCTACCGTAAATTTAGTTGGCCATATGGAAAGGGATAATAACTACAATTTACTGAATCCTCCAAAGTGGCCCTCGTTATTCATTGGAGGCTGTTCCAGCCCAAAGACTGTGGGTAATAAAATCATGGATAATGAGAGCCTCACAAGCACACTTTATAACAGGGCAAAACACCTCCATCGTTTTGTGCATGCTACACACCCAGATAAATTCTCTAAAAGGTTTCTCCCGAATAGAGCCAGATGCCAATCTTTTTACCATTGATAATGAGGTCTAATTTATATCACCAGCCTTAAACACTTGAAATTGCAGTTAAGGAAATAACAGGGTTCACCTATAAAAAGTCCTAGATCTCTGACGAGTCTCTTAGTGAAAGTTCCAGGAGACCCCAAAAAAGGTACTTACAAATCCTGTTGGATGCATCCTTCTGCAGTCACATGATTGCATTTTGGGTGCTTGACAACTAGTTCACGTTTATGACCATTTGGAGTGTTCTGTGGTCACATGACTTCCATTTATGACTTTTTTCTGAGAGCTGGCCCATTGCAGACAATGGAGTCACTTAATGACTGCAATGTTCATTTAGTGATCACGGTGATTCATTTAACGGCCACCATAAAATATATTGTAAAATCAAGTCGTGCACGTGATGACGCACCGAACCACCGGCACGACTTACAGCCTATTTCCAAGCTCAATTATGGTGGTAAGTCAAGTAGATCAAAGTCTTATTCCAGCAACCTCTTAACATTCTGTATAAAACTGCCCATGAAATCACTGGGATGTTTCCTATGAAAAATCTGTATTTTAAAATACATAGGTCAAACTCTCAGCACCATTTTTATTTGGCAAGAAACACAAGGTACCACAGTTTTAAGGAGAGGGGAGATTCCTCTCCAGTTGTCCGCACCAGAGTTTGGTACAGGTAATCCTCAATTTACAACTATTCATTTAGTGACTGTTCAAAGTTACAACAGCGTGAAAAAAGTGACTTACAGATGTTTTTCACGCTTACAACCAGAGGTGGAATTCACTTACCTTCCCTACTGGTTTGCTCAATTGGCTCGCGCGTGCCACCTCTGTGCATGCGCAAGGCCTTCTGCACATGCGCTGTAGTCACGCATTACATGCGGGTGGGCGGAGCCTCCCACAGTCGCCGCCACTGGTTCCCGTGATCTGAAGAGAACTGGCTGAATCCCACCATAGCAGCATCCCCATGGTCACATGATCAAAATTGCTGTGTCCCCAAGGTCACGTGATCCCCAAGGTCACATGACCTGACAAGCAAAGTCAATGGGGAAGCCAGATTCACTTAACAACTCTGTTACTAACTTAACTGCAACGATTCGTTTAAGAACTGTGGCAAGAAAGGTCGTAAAATGGGGCAAAACTCACTTAACAAATATCTCGCTTAGCAACAGAAATTTTGGGCTTAATTGTGGTCGTAAGTTGAGGACTACCTGTACATGACAAAGACAGTTACCTCAGCATGATTCCTCCTAGGCGGATGGCTCGCTTCCAGTCCTTCAGGGTGGACTTGCCAGCCAGGTGAACAAAGTGCTTGGGGCTGATAAGCTGATCATTGAACTATCAAAAGAGGAAGGAACCATTTATTTTTCTCATGGTAAGGATATAATGCAACCATTCAGTCTTCAAGGCAGCACCCATTATTCATGGATATATGTGATCAAGACAGACTAGGAGTTTGTTAATACAACCTGGGCTTTGTGATTCCAGGCTGACACCGTGCAAGATGTAGAACTGTTTGGGGATAAAAATTAGGTGGATAAGTGGGAAAAATTTTGCCATCCAATTACCGTATTTTTCGGAGTATAAAATGCACCTTTTCCCCCCCTAAAAGGGGGGGGGAAATTAGGTGCGTCTTATACACCGAATGTACCCCGCCCACCCACTGGCCCCCACCCTTTGGCCTCTGCCTCCCAGCAGTTACCTCCTTGCAGCAAACAGCAAGAAGAAACAGCTTCTTTCAGCTTCAGCACAGCTTAATTAGTACAAGTTGATTGGATCGGCCTCCGACTCTCAGCTGATTTGCTCTCAGCTGTCTTGCGCAGGGCTCTGCTGCTTGCTGCAAAGAGGTAAATTGCTGGAGCAGATTTTTTTTTCCTTGTGCTAATCAAGCTATGCTGAAAACGAAAATGAAAGTAAAGCAGGCTGTTTGCTGCAAGGAGGCAAAATTGCTCAGAGGCAGAGGCAGATTTCTTTTTCTTCTTTTCCTCACCAAAAAAGGTAGGTGCATCTTATACTCAGGTGCGTCTTATACTCCAAAAAATATGGTACATATTGTAGAATGGGACGCTCACAAGAAAAACATCTATTATGGCAGACATAACCCAACTTTCTTCCTACAGTGGTGTCCAGGCCCTTGTGGTGGGGAGGGGTGCCTCCCCCTTGCAAGAGTGAAATAAAGACATTACCTTCAACTCTGCCACCTAAATAGTTTATTGCTAAGAGTTTCAGGTGTACCAAATACTCTTGTGCATAGCGGAACGTTTTTCAAAGGAAAAGAATGCTCCTGTCAAAAACCCAGCAACACAGAACAAAGAGAAGAGAGCTGGCAAAAGTCACTTTCACCATGCTATTTACCTTAACACACTTGACATTGATTCCTGGGCACACAAATTTCTTCCAGAGCAAGATGGCCTTGCTATCTCCACAGGTAATGGGGTAGGCAATCTCAATTTCCTCATTGCTTTCAAGGGCACTGGCATCTACAGATGGAAACAGGGAGATATTTGAGAGACATGTAGAGATCTCCATGCTGATTCATCTCACCATAAGTGCCCAGCCTTGGCAACTTTAAGACCCGTGGAACTTCAATACCCAGAATTCCCCAGACAGCATGGGGAATTCCCCAGACAGCATTCCCGATGGCTGGCAGGGGAATTCTGGGAGTTGAGGTCCACAAGTCTTAAAGTTCCCAAGACTGGACACCCCTGATTTAACCCAAACACTGAAAAGGACTCTAAAGATCTCAAGCATTTTCTCATTGTATATCTTTTAAACTGGAGATCCCAAGTCTGAACTTGGGATACCCTTGCATGAAAGCCACATTTTAAGCCATCACTTCTTTCTTAAAGACACTGATAAAATTATATAGTCTGTTTCATCTTTACAACTTACGATGGATCCATAAATAATGTACTGTATAGTATTTAGGTAAGCATCAGAGTACAGTTTCATAACAGCCAGAAGTGGTCAGAGTATAAAAGGAAGACAATATGATTCATTGTTGTCCTTGTTGCCATTAACAAGACAGGTTTCTTATGGAATGGCTTAATCCTTACTGTACTAATACATGGTCCGATTTGTTTAACTCAGCCATAAATCATACAATGATATACATAAATGATATACAACTTACAACTCGGCTATAAATGATGGGATGTAAATCTCAATGGCTAGACTCACATTATACACCAAACCAAAATTAAACTACAATCAGAGTGGGTTTCAGCAGGTTCTGACCAGTTCTGGAGAACCGGTAGTGGAAATTTTGAGTAGTTCGGAGAAACCGGTAGTAAAAATTCTGACTGGCCCCGCCCCTTTATTCTCTGCCTCCCAAGTCCCAGTTGATCAGGAGGAAATGGAGATTTTGCAGTATCCTTCCCCTGGAGTAGGGTGGGAATGGAGATTTTACAGTATCCTTCCCCTGCCACGCCCACCAAGCCGCACCCACAGAACCAGTAGTAAAAAATTTTGAAACCCACCATTGACTACAATGTAAGGGCAAAGTACAAGCTTCTACCTAGAAAATAATTTTTTGGGAAAATACAGTTCTTTGGGATACTAGCCTCACATTCTCACTCTCTTGAATGTCCATTATAATATGCAAATTTACAGTTATTCTGAAGTGATGAAGATAGTAAATGAAATTTGGACAGTAGTCTGACAAGACTGCCTTGTGCCTATAGTTGAGCTTCAGGAATGTGAACCTTTAGGCAACACCTTCACAGGAAGAGACAATGAAAGAAAGCTCCCAAGGCCTCTTAGCTCAGGAATTCTTTTTCCAAGGGATTCTAGTTTTTCGCAGTGCTACAGGCTTTATTCCACCTTATGCAAATATGTAGAAAGGTTGGTATTTCCCTTAATGATATGGAGTGGGGCAATGATGAAATCCAATTTTTTTTACTACCGGTTCTGTGAGCGTAGCTTAGTGGGCATGGTAGGGGAAGGTTACTACAAAATCTCCATTCCCACCCTACTCCAGGGGAAGGATACTGCAAAATCCTCCTCCCCACTCCAGGGGAAGGATACTGCAAAATCTCCATTTCCCACCCCACTCCAGGGGAAGGATACTGCAAAATCTCCATTCCCACCCCACTCCAGGGGAAGGATACTGCAAAATCCCCACTCCAAAATCTCCATTCCCACCCCACTCCAGGGGAAGGATACTGCAAAATCTCCATTCCCACCCCACTCTGGGGTCAGCCAGAGGTAGTATTTGCCGGTTCTCCGAACTACTCAAAATTTCTGCTACCAGTTCTCCAAACTACTCAAAATTTCCGCTTCCAGTTCTCCAGAACCTGCTGGATTTCACCCCTGGAGTGGGGGAAAAAGCCATCATCCATGCAAATAACTATTGCAGAAACTGTTATGCTTCAGGATCAGCCCATTTCTGCTTTTGCTGAGCAAAGTTTTGGTTTGGAGGAAAGACGGTGGACATCGTATTTCTTCTTCAATGTTGTCCTCCCTATATTAACCCAGGGATGCACAATGGATTAAGAAGCAGTGACTGCATTAAAGCCATTCCATGCATCTGATTTCATCATGTCTTCCTGGTTTTGCTTCAGCGCACTAACCATTGCACATGCTGCCTGCATGCTTCATCCAAAGCACCCCTATTAGGCTGCAATACAATTGAGCTAAATATGAAACTGATGCATCGTTATCCCTGAGAACTCACCGATGCCATCTTCAAGTTTGTGTATGGTGTGCGTTTCTACAGCCATCACAGCCGCATTAGTTTCAGAGCTCTCTTGATAAATTCTGCTGTACAAATGGCAATAAGTACACAAATGATGCAGTAATTTGAAAACTGGTGACATGAAAGTACATCTCCCCCACATCAATCTGTGTGCCCCTGGCATCAGAGGGCAACACTATGGGATTTTCCATTAATAATTCCGTATTTATGGAATTTGGCACTTTTCAACAGCAACCCAAAATCTTAATTTTAATAGTTCTGTTTTTGGTTAGTTTGATTTCCCTGCATAATCATTTATTTTAGATTATATAAACATTTATATAAAAAGCAATATTCATAGCAGTATTTTTTCCCCCACCAATTTCATAAGGGATACTGTAATTTTTATCTCCAAGGAAAGTTAATATCATTATAATCAAGTTCTCTTGCTATAGCTGAAAGGACTCAAGTCTACATACAAGAAAGGAAATTGTTATTAAACAGTGGGGCTTGTTTTGATACAACTTGCTTCACTGTGGAATGAACTGACTGGGGGGGTGGGGGGTTGACCTCTTCTTTATTAGGAATGCTATACCAGCTGCGGGTTGACCAAATTGTCCTTAATTTTATGGTTCTATCCAGCCATAAAATCCAGCCATAAAATGAATGACGGAGAAGGCATCCATAAAACGTGAGTTCCTTCACATTTTTAAGCATATCTAGAATCTCCCAATACTCTTATTATAATAATATTATACTTGTTAAAATTCCATCTTCTGCACAAATCACAAGAGTTTCGTCTTCTTTTATGCCTGCATTCTCAGCTCTCCTTGGAGCAGTCCTCTAAGCCCTCAATTTGGGCATAATTACTTGGGAATATTTTGTTTTGCTACTGGCATGTCACTCACCCTTGTTGCACTGGCTGTAGTTGTAATATAACCTGGGTTTTGGTATCTTCTGGGTTTCCCCCCTCCGTTCCTTCGGTTGGCACAACGACCACATCTCCTACAGGAATGCTTACTTCAGCATTTGCCATTTGTTCACATGAAGTCTGAGCCACCGGGTGACAAGTATGCTGTAGCGGACAATAAACAACCGAGGCAACCTTGATTTGGGAGTTGAGAACCATCATCTCTAAATTACACACAATTATCATATTGTATAATAGTAGGTCAAAAGGGCCCACATCCTCAGCACCTTTGTGGCTTCTCTTAATAGTCTTAACCTCTCCTCACAACCTAAGATTGTTCTCAGAATAATTGACTATCACTATTGCCTTGGGAACTCAAAAGTGACTTGGCCTTGTTAGCTTTCTTGTAAGGTTTAAGAGGTTATTGTGACAGCAATTAAAAGATGCACAAGCATTCCCTGATCTCTATTCTGAGCTGCACCTGCTACAGCAGAAGCTTGAGCCATCTGAAAACAAAAGGGGGTATTTTTTTATAGAACTGTTATTTTATAATCAACTTGGATTCATTAAAAAGTGAAGGCTGCAGACCTATATACAATTGGCTTAGACTGTGCCTAGTACAGTCTAGTCTAGTACTTAGCTAGATTTGCTTCTGAGTTCACAGGCAATTGGGGGCGGGGGGTTTGGTTTTTGTTAAAACAACCAATTAGGCTGAAGCACTGAGCAGTGTCATTCAATAGGCAGAGAAAGCTGGAAAGCCACATTGCAATGATTGATGTGGTATCTATAGAGGGCTTGAAAAATATGTAATGGGTGGCTTGAATCTTGGCGAGAGGCATTGGCTGCTTTTTAAATGATTCAAGATTGTGGGAGTTGCTTTTGCTTTCTCTTTGTTCCTTTGCCAGCAGAATGCCAAAATCAAACCCCCTCCCACAATACATTGGTTGTAAACTAATGACCAAAAGAACCCCCAAATGCAATTTTGGCTATTGGTTGCTTCCAAATCAGCAGATGAACTGGGAAAGCAAGGATTTATGAAATTTCCAGGAAGAATGGTCATACACATGATTCATGGGAAATAAGAACCTTAACACAAAACCCCATTTCATAAGTGAGTGTATGAGTTTCCTTGTTTTCAGATTCAAAATCACAGGCCATTGTTACTGCTGGATCAGATGATCAGTCCAAGAAATTCAACTTCACGCTACCAACCAGCCCCTCCTGCTGGCTGCAGAAAACTCATTAGCAATACACAAATGTAATTCCATTTCCTCCTCTCATTTTGCTTCAGAGGATACCCAGAGAAATACACTGTGGTAGTGTTGAATCTGAAGGTTAGATATAACTCTAATGACCTTGCTGTCTAATAATCTTTCCTAGAGCTGTTTCTAAACCCCTCTTTGTTGTCATTCTACTATACAATGACAATGAATTTTAAAAATTATTCAGTATGTGAAAATGTATTTTATTGTGTCTCTTAAAGGCAAGGTTGAAATGACTCAATTGAAGATTAATCTTTGACCCATGTTTGAATAGTTCTTTAAAGTCATGTCTGAATTCAGGATAAATTGAATGAGAGACTGCTCATTAGTTCAACGGTTATCAGCTAGAATTATTTTATAGAGTGAATGCTATGTATCTGCCTCAAATAAATTCCCCTGGATGTTACTGGAATTTACTTCTACGACAGCAGAAACAATATCACAACTTTCCTAATTTACTTTTAGCTAAATCCAAATGAATTCGGTACTGTTTACACTTAGTCAAATCCTAGACATTATTTTAAATTAGTTGAAGTAGTGCCATAAATATTGGCAGGGCTATAACAGAAGGCTCAGAATGCCTTAGCTGCTTATTATTATGGGAAAATAAAAGTTGAGGCAAACAAGAACACTATTTGCATCTTTATTATTATTATTTTGCAGTTTTCTTCATGTGAAACAGAGTTGTCCAATCAACAATGGTATCCTTCCAATAATGGTGCCAGGTCATCAATTTTGTTATTATTTTAAAAAGCCAAACAAAAAAAACCCTTAACACTGAATAGAGAATGGGTGATAGAAAAGGGACATTTAAGGAGCATTTCAGCTATGTTTTTTTTGGGGGGGGGGGAGCATTGTTTTCCAGAAATGCAATCCCAAACCCATCATCAGCATTGCCATAAAAAAAAAAGGAGCATGGAATGCAATTGTTTTTTTATTGCCTTCTGCTACAGAAATCAAGGCAACCTTTTTTTATCATAATTTGTCATTTATAACAAAAAAAAAATGCCAATTCTTGGTAAAGCCACTTTGATCTCAGCTATTCCAACAGGCTGTTTAAACTCATTTATCGAACTCCAACCACCACCCGTCGGTTATCTAAAGCCATCTCAGTGTAATGAATATTATGTATCATAAATCACAGGGAGATTTCACAGAAACCTGGCTCCTGCTCTAATAATGTATTAAATTGAAATGCTGCCCAGAGATGCTATGCTAGCTAGGCTGTTAACATAACAGTAATCCTAACTTTGCCCAGTTTTAATTTTCGTTATGATGGATCCTGCTTAAAACCGGTGGCGGACTTTCTTTCAACCTATCAATCGAAATAGAGTTGGAAGGGACTTTAGAGGTCTTCTAGTCCAGCCCTCCTCACCCCCTCAAACCAGGAGGGCCTTATATACCCTGTTCCCCCCCCCCCAAAAATAAGACTTCCCCTGATAATAAACCCAATCATCGGGCTTTTGAGCGCATGGCAATAAGGCAAACAAGCGCTTATTTCAGGGTTCAAAAAAATAGAAGACAGGGTCTTATTTTCGGGGAAACACGGGTAGTATCATTTCATTTTCTCTTTTGTGAGTTTTGACTGAGTTCAAAACAGTCCCGGGACAGGAGCTTGATTAATAATTTTGTCACTGAACGGGGACGGGCTTTTAGTTCGGCCAGGGAAGGAAGGAAGGAACCCCTCAATCCGGCCGCCTGAGGGAGAAAGTCGGGGCTTGTTGGGACCGAGAGGCTCGGGGAAACCGCGAGTGCCAAGCCGTCCCTCAGAAGAACCCCGAGGATGAAAGGCGGCGAGTTCAACCGGTGAAGCGAGTTCCGCTGGCAAAACTCGCTCCACTCCCCGCTTCCCCCCCCCCCCCACGCCCGGCGGTTCCAAGGCAGACCCGGCGAGGGTGGGGGGAGCAAAGCGGCCCGCGCGTTTTTCTTTCTTTTTTTTTTTTATTTGTTTAAACGCCTGGCCCGACTTCACGCCCGGAGACTCCAACTTCCATCATCCCCAGCTCGCCCGGCCGCTGGGGATGATGAGAGGTGGTGGCGGCGGCGGCGGCGCGAGGAGGAGGAGGAACAACAACCCCGCGCGGGCCGCCCGTGGACGCCTTTCCACACTGTCCACACTGAGGGCGAGTTCGACCGCGCCCGCGCGGCTGAGGGGAAAGCCCGCCTTCCCCCGCGGGCCCCGCCCCCTCGCCTGCCCCGCGAGCCCCTCAGCCCTCCGTGGCCCCGCCCCTCTTCCCTCGCTCCAGGCCAGGCGCAGCCTCCTCCCCCTCCTCCTTTCCCCACCCTCCACTTCCCCCCCCCCGTAGCGGCGCTGCGACGTCCGCTCTCCCGGCGGCGGCACGTACGGCGGGGTAGCGGCCGTGCGCTCTCCCAACGCAACCCCCTCCCTCATCTCCACGCACTCTGCGTCCCGGCTCCCGTAGCGCAGCGGCAGCAAGAACGTCGCCCTGCGTTCCCTCCCCCCCCCCGTTACCGTCTCCGAGCGGCCGAGTCCGGGCTGGGGGGGGTTGGGAGGAGGGAGGGAGCATGCGCAGAAGCTGCAGCGGCTCGCCTGCCAGGACTTCCGGCCGCCTCCTCTCTCTTAAAGGGGCCGCGAGAGACAGAGCAGTTTTGGCGGCTCCCGCGGTTGTGCGCTGTTGGATGTCTTTTGGGGGGCCTGGGAAAGGATCGCATTTGCAGCCTTTGGCCAAGCCGGTTTCTTAGGGTCGGCTCTTCTCAGCTGATCTGCCGACTGCCAGAGCTGCTGCTGCTGCATTAATAGCATATGCATGTTTGGCAGTTATTGGATATATAGCAATAGCACTTAAGACTTATACACCACTTCACAGTGCTTTGCAGCCCTCTCTAAGCGGTTTACAGAGTCCGCCTATTGCCTCCCCAGTATAGTTAACTTGCTCAAAAGAGGCAATGGAACGGCGAGGCAACATGCTCAGACATGAATTAATTAATTGCATGCACAGATCGTTAAGTTTCCTTCTCCAGTTGAAAGCACGCCCTTTTTCATTCTAATCCAAATAACGGTTTTCCTGCTGCAAATGTTTGCTGCCCGGGAAATGTCATACTTATCGCTTCTAAAGCTATCAGAAATCGAGAGAGGTGCTAGAGATAACGGAGAACTCGGCTGCCAGCTGCTGCCCTCTGGATATTTGCAGCCCCTAATCCCACCACATTTCGTGTATTTTGATGGAAATTCCTGCCAAATCCGGAAGGAGACCAGTCCCTTCTTGTGCGACTTTCACAGCAAGCAAATGTTATGCCCAGCTGATGGCGCCGGTGGCCTTCTGGTTGGTGGCAGAGGCACGTTTGCCAACCTCTTTTAAGATGCATGGACTTCAACTCTCAGAACTCCCTAGTTGGGCTGGGGAATTCTGGAAGTTGAAGTCTACACATCTTAAAAGGGCTGAGGTTAACAAACATTGGAGCAGGCTTAGGGCACAAAGCAAAAGGTTCGCTGTTATTAAGCGTCTCCAGTAACAAGATTGTCTGCAATCTGCTTTTACACCGAGTTTTTATAGCTTTAATCCCTAAAAGGTAATTGACCTGTTTCATGGGGTGGGGGGGGCATAATATGGTTTTGACTTCACCCAAAACCATCCTTGGGCTTAAATAACCCAACTGGAATTTATTTAGCAAGTCAAATGGCAAGTCAAAAGTTTAGAATGATGCAGGAACTTAGCAGTGGAGAAATCAAAAGGCCGCAGATGATATCTAATCAATAATGTTCTGGCACAACTTCGTACTTTGTCATCTCAATCTTGCAATGAAGAGGACCTGTCTGCTGTCCCATTGGATCAAAGAAGCAGAGCTAACATTGAACAGATGCCAGAATGCAAACCCCCAATAATTAAAATGATTTTCCCCACCATCCCCAAATTAATAACCAACCTGGGGTCTTGGAAAAAAATAAAGATTGTTCAGTGTAGAATGTAGAATTCTTTATTGGCCAAGTATGATTGGACACACAAGGATAGGTCTGATTATAATAACCAGCCAAAGATGTTGATAGTAGTGACTGAATGTGGTACATGCAGAGATTTACCAGAAGTTGGTTAAATGCCAAGCTAAAGAACGAAATAAATGGAGTGAATGTTGAGTTAAGAAACTCAAATTGGTTTGTAGTAGAAACATGCCTATAAAAAAACATGTTTAAAAAAACAAGAGTACTATAATCTATTACCTACCATAAAACCAAGAGTAGTTAAATCAAGTAACCATTATTAAGTAGCACCAGCTGCCTGCAATTACTGCAAGTTCAAATCTCACCAGCCTCAAGGTTGACTCAGCCTTCCATCTTTTCGAGGTAGGTAAAATGAGGACCCAGATTGTGGGGGCAATATAAAAAAATTTTTTGTATATATTTTTTTTTGTATAAAAAAAAAGAACACTGCTTAGGGGGGGCCCCGAAAGCCCTACTAAGCAGGTATATATAAAAAGTATGAAGGCTATTGCTTAACGCATTGTAAGCCGCCCTGAGTCTCTGGAGAAGGGCGGCATATAAATCGAACCAATAAATAAATAAGTCAACTGCTCTGAATACACAACAAAGCATTGCAAACTATAAAGAAACTATGCCTCTGATGGGGAGAAATTTTCTCACAGTGAGAGCAATCAACCCATGGTACAGAACTTGCCTTCAGAAGTTGTGGGAGCTTCATCACTGGAAACTTTCAAGAAGAGACTGGACAGTCATCTGTCAGAAATGGTGTAGGGTTTTCTGCTTGGGAGGGGGGTTGGACTAGATGACCTACAAGGCTCTTCCAACTCTATTAATCTGTTAAATTAGTTGCCAAGGTTGAACACCTCTGGTTTAAACAATGATAGAATAATTGTATTGTCACTTTGACCGTGTACACTAATTAGCATACATTAAAATGAAATTCCGTTGCATGCAGCTCTCAAAGGGAGCCTGAGTGGCGTAAGGAGGCTAATGCCTCCTAAGGCAGCATTTAACATCCAGCTGCCTGCAATTACTGCGAGTTCAATTCTCCCCAGGCTCAAGGTCGACTCAGCCTTCCATCCTTTCTAAGGTGGGTAAATTGAGGACCCAATTTGTGGGGGCAATAAGCTGACTTTGTATAAATATACAAAAGTATGAAGGCTATTGCTTAACGCATTGTAAGCCGCCCTGAGTCTCCGGAGAAGGGCGGCATATAAATCAAAGCAAAATTAAAAAAAAAAGGGCCACCCCCTCCAATAGACACTACATTATAAACATGACAAAATAACTAAATACAAAATTATGCATAGACCCACTTATATTATTCTTTGCTACAACCAGCTAGCTTTTCTTTTCCAGGGCTCGACGCACCCAACCTACAGTCAAGAAACCAAGTTTATCAAGTCAAGGTTTAACGCGTTTTTCAAGGTCCCTTAAGAGAAGGACTCTACCATATTTTCCCACCCAGCGACCCACCCATCTCTTTGGGCTTCCACCTCGAACTAGGATACCGATGACTCCCGATCCACCCCCTTTTCCCTTTCTAACGTGGTTTCTTCGGGGGGGGGGTTCGACGGAGGGGGCTTCGGACAGCCGGCGGGCTCGGCGTCATCCGCGCTTCCTCGACGGGGCGGCGAGACCAGTGTTGGAAAAAAAAAGTTAGTCGGGCGGGCGGGCGGGGCCAATGACCGAGGGGAGGCTTGGCCCCTTCAGCCAATCGCGTGACGCGGGGGGGGTGGTCGAGGCGCGCGCTCCTCCGCCCGCCGCCAGCTGCAGACGGTCGCTGTTCGGCCGGGTGGAGGGAGGCGATCGAACCGGCGGCTCCTGCCGAGGCGCCGCTCGACGATGCGCCCTGGGCTCCGCGGTGCGCTCCGGCTGCTCCAGCTGCTGTGGTGGCCCCTGGACTTCTCGACGGGCAGCAGTCAGGCGGGTAAGTCGTGGCCGTTCGCAAGCGCGCAGAAGCCGGCTGGGAAAGTGGTGGGAAGTGGCTGGGAAGCGAAAGCGGACGCGTTGAATGAGGTGAAAGTAAGGAGGGTGGCAGCTTGAAGGAGAAAAACGCTTGGCACGATCTTCTCCAAGCTCTGCTTTTCAGGCTCTAAAAAGAGCCTTGGTAGTACAGGAGTTTAAGGCACCCTGTTATTAAGCTTATTAAGACCAGCTGCCTGCAATTACTGCAGGGTTCGAATCTCACCAGGCTCAAGGTTGACTCAGCCTTCCATCCTTTCTAAGGTAGGTAAATTGAGGAGCCAGACTGTGGGGGCAATAAGCTGAGTTTGTATAAAATATACAAAAGGATGAAGGCTATTGCTGAGCACATTGTAAGCCGCCCTGAGTCTTCGGAGAAGGGCGGCATATAAATCAAATAAAAAAAAAAAAAGAGGCGCTGTGCCAGGGTGCCAACAATGGCCCTTATAGCCCAGCCCCGATAAGGAAGAAAATGCTTAAGAAGGAGGGTTTAGTTTCGTCCCAGGTCGTCCTCGAATTACGACCACGATGGAGCCCAACACTTCTGTTGCTAAGTGAGACATGTCTTAAGTGAGCTTTGACCCATTTTACAACCTTTCTTTGCCACCGTTGCTAAGTGAGTCACTGCCGTTGTTGCCGGAAACCCGAAGACCAGCTGGCCAGTGCACATGCCCACAGAGAGGGCTCTGCGTGCCACCTCTCTACGAATGCCATAGGTTTGCCATCACGACCTTATACCATCTGGCTCAAATGGTTGTCCAATCTATTTTTGAAAACCTCCAGTGATGGAACACCTCTGGCAAGTTATTCCACTGATTAATTGTTCTCACTGTCAGAAAATTGTGGGCTGGTCAAAAGTTACCTTATCAGTGCCATTGTAACTTTAAAATGTTGTTAAATGAGTGGTTGTAAGTTGAGGACTTCTTGTATTGTGTCTTTATATATTGTGTGTATGTTTTAAAG